TTTCCCCAAGGTTGCTTTCAAACGAATAGACGTACACATAAAAGCATAATAAATTGTAGTTTCTATAAGAGAACTTGACACAGGGTGCAGTGAGGGCTCAGCAGATGAGGTGGCCAGTTAGCTCCAAGAGTCACAGAAGAGTCATAGGATGCACCCTACTTTATACTTAAGGTAAGATAGTTGGGAGTCCGCCAGGCAGGCACAGATGGGAAAGGACAGGCATTCCAGTAGACGGAATAGCATGAGCCAAGGCTTGGAGCTGTTAAGCAGCCAGGAAGTTTCCACAGACTTTAGCTTCTAAGAATAGAGGAGGCAGGTGGTCGGGAAGCATCATGGGAGATGAGGCTGATAAGGTGGATAAAAGGCAACACACATAGACCTTGAGTGTCCTGCAAAGGAAACTGGCCTTTACCAATTACAAAGGTACACCTGACCCCGTAGCCTGTTGCCAGTGGTGCTGATAAAACAACTTCTGATAAAACAACCACTGGGCGCTATAATCCCAAATGGGGCATGTGGACGCCATAATTCCAAGACAGACACTCCACGTAGGCAGCAGAAATCACCCCGTCTCGTCCGATGCTTTCCTAATCCAGGATCCCGGATCCCGCCAGCATCAGTCAGCGCTACTCACACTTTGCTTTCTTCATACGGAGGCGAGACACTTCAAGGACTTTGGGTTTTACAAAACCCATCCCGTTTCTCCTCCCCAACCTCCCACGACACATCCTGGCTCTGCATTCACAGTCAACGACCTTTCCATTCATAGCTCACTCTTTGGCTTCTTCTAGTCAGAAAAAAAAAAAAAATTTTTTTTTTTTAAACACCTACTGGGAATAGAGAGCCACTGAATTTTAAGCATGTGTGTGACATGATCGGTTTTTCATTTTAGAAAGATCACTTGATCACAGCACTCAGGCTGGGTTGGAGATGGGAGAGCAGTTGGAACCCTGCTGTAACCCAAGTAGGAGATTGTACAGCCTCAGTTACACAGCAGGGGTGGGCGCAGAGGAGAGCCCAGGACTTGCTCCCTAGTTGATGCAGAAGCAGGACACAATGGAATGGCTGTAAGATTTCTGGCTCGAACACTGCCAGAGGGGGCTACCTCTTCCCCACTCCTCTGCTTCTATGAAGAAGGATCATTTCCTACGTGCTGCTGGCCTTTTGCCTAAACCTTACTCCTGTCCTGAGATAGAGCGAGTTACCTGGTTAGTGGGTAACAGACCTTTGTCCAGATTTCTTGGGGTGAAGTTCTTGGGGGTGAAGTTAGTGTGGAGGGTCTGGTTTTTTTCTCTTCTCCTCCATCCTCGCCCACTAAAAGGCAATGGCCTTGGTCCTCTCTACAAGTCTGATTCCCTTGGGGAGCCCGCAGTTGGAGGCAGGAAGCTTGGGAAGCCCATTCTTCTCATATCTAGTCTCCAAATTGCCGCTCTTCTGTAATAATGGTGATTAATTATTATTATTAATTACTAACATTGCACTGCTGACTTCTTGACCTAATTTGGGGGAGATCTTTAAAGCCCCCAAACTGCATTGATCTTAGGTGCCTAGGGGACCTCCAGATGAAGCTGTCCAGGAGAGATGGTTGGGGTGAAGGGTTTGAAAACAGGAGAGCCTGGCTAGAGACACATGATGCTGGTAACCACAGGCTGAGTGAGATCACCTGGGGGAGTGGATGAGCCGTGGTTCTTAGCCTTGACTTGTGTCAGTCCCCAGTGACTCTAAAATGTAGATGGTCAGTCTCCAGCTCTGTAGATGACACATCAGGGTGTCTGGGCTCGAGACGGGCATCTGTGTTTTCTAAATAAGCTTGGAGGACAATATTCTGCTGCTCACTGAGCAGGGTGGAGAATCCCAGTGGGAGTGGGAAGTTGGAAGGCAGAGCCCCAGGACCCACCAGCACTTACGAGGGGTGAGTATGTCTGCATGTATCAGGATTGTTGATCAAAAGTTACTTGGTAATGATCTATGACAAATGACATTACTAGTATGGGCTTCCTGCATTATACACACTAGGGCCTGGACAGTACACAGCCTTATTGTGGAAAAGATCAGCTCATTTCTAGCTATGAGATGTTACTTAAAAAAATACACTGAAAATGATTGTGCATTCTGGATAGCACAATGAATTTTTTCCCCGACAGGATGGCCAGAACTTGCAGTTCTAATTAACCTCCATTTCAAATATGGGATAAGTTGAGTACGGCCTCCAGGGAAAGAATATCTTGGCTTAAGCAGCGAAAAGAATTGTGGGACATTCACTTGCGTCCATCTCAGGACACTATCCAAGGAAAAGAACTGGGATCCTTTGCTTAATTTAAGGAATTTGATTTAGTTTAAATCCTTGATTTCAGTATAAAAATGAAGTTATATTTATACTCCTTTAAAGTGTTTGTGTGGCCCTGGGAAAATTCCTTGGGCCCTCTGAGTCTTTGCTTCCTCATCTGTAAAATGGGGAGAATAAGAACTTTGTGAGGATTAAATGACATAATACATGTAAAGCACATAGCATCGTGCTCCAGGCACATACCAAACATTCAATAAATACCAGCTCAAGAGGTTTTAGACCAATAACTAAACAGCACTACTACATACAAACGGTACTAACTTAACACTCAGTGCTTCTAATATGGGAGTACCACGACATGATTTAGACTTAATGCATATTACTCAGCCTCCAGGAACAAGGAATTTTTCCTGGGCTGGAGAACAGACCACTTTCATGACAGACCACATTCCTTGACTACTTGAAAGATTAGCTTCAAAGATTGCTTTGAAAATTTACCTCCCCAAGAGCTTATTAGAGGTGTGGTTGGGTCTGGCTGGGTCACAACATAGTCCAGCTTGGGAAGTGTCTGCCTTGCTTTGTGAAGGGGAGGCCTTGTAAGCATTGTTATCCAACAGCGCTGGGGAATGATACGTATTCTGGTGAATCAATCATTCACCCACCAGTTCAAGAAACGAGTGTGTACTTTGTGCTGGATAAAGTGCTAGTTGCTGAGGATACAAAGATAAATAAATTCCTTGCTTCCAAGAAGCCTACAGTTTAGTGAAAAGACAGGCACATAAATATGTGTTACAATTTAAATGATTTTTTAAGTTCATTTATTTATTCTGTGAGAGAGAGAGAGAGCACAGGAAGGGCAGAGAGAGAGAGAGAGAGCACAGGAAGGGCAGAGAAAGAGAGAGAGGGAGAGAGACAGAATCCCAAGCAGGCTTTGCACTGTCAGCACAGAGCCCAGCGTGGGGCTCGAACCATGAACCTGAGCCGAAACCAAGAGTCGGATGCTCAACCGACCGAGCCACCCAGGCACTCCTATGTGTTACAATTAAGGACAATTTCCATGGTTTGGGGTACGCACAAAATTCCATGGTTGCAGAGGGGAAGGCAGCCCCTTCAGATCACCTTGACAATTGGATACACAGTGATACCACTCTTCCAATATGGGACTCCATGAAGAGGAGGAGGAGAAGTTTAGGGGAGAAGGTAATGAGTTGGGGTTTTGCCATGTTGTTTGCATTGCTTGTGCAACATCCAAACCAAGATGAATGGGGTCTAAAACTAAGAGAGTGGTCAAGGTTAGAGACCCAGACTTGGACGTCATTAGCCCACAGGTGGTAGCTGATGGGCACGGATGATAGTACCTTGGAAGAAAGTTAGAGTCAAGAGATACTGTGAAACACTATCATTTAAAGGGCAGGCAGGGAAAGAGGGGCCAGAAAGGAAAACAGAGGGAATAGAGAGGTAGGACAGGAACCAAGAGAGAATGAGCAGGATCAGGAAAACCAAGCGAGGATTTCCAAGATAGTCTCAGTATTTTCAAAATAGAAGTTTAATGGCAGTGTTAGTTGGCTACTATTCCATACAAGGATTACCCTATTTCCAAAGCATTTGCACCATGTCTTACACGTGTTAAAAGATTGAGAAAATAAATTAGAACGTTATAATGCACACTTACTGCTAAAACTATCAAGCACAATGTAACTTCTAGATAGTTTTGAAGGCACTTTGGGATTCTCTCAGTGCCTGAGGGTGCCATTATGAACTCTAGCTATTGTCCTGTGCAAGTGTGGGAGGGCTGACAAATGGAGCATTGGTTGACCTCTAGATAAACCAACTTTCACTCCCCAAGGGAGGGCTCACTAGCAGCAACAGAGAAGGGTATCTAGATCCCAGTTCAGACTAGGAAGCCAGCTGACTCAATCAGGGGCATGAACCCAGAAGAAAAAATTAAAAACCTGTAATCCTCCCACTTTCCCCACCCCCTTGTGCATAGTGCAAGATTTGTCGTCGCTAAAGGGAAGTTCAGAAAGCAAATCTACCTCCGATCCCAGATCCTAACGTACTAGAAATGATGGTGATATCTGTACACATGGGGTTCAAGGCCTCCCGGTAGCTATCCCAACACTTGGATCTGAGCTCATAATGGTCTCACCTACATTTGAAAGAATCAGTTTAACTGATTTATAAACTCGTTTCTAAGGCTGAGCCCTCCCTAAGAGAGAACCTCTTGCCTTGAGGAGGGATCCCCACTGATGTTCTAGGCACGGGAGCCAAATGGATTAATTGCGGGTCTCCCTGGGCTCCGACTGTAAGGTCACTCTATGCTCGGAGTTTGCCAGCTGTCCATTCTGTTACTGTCACATCAAAGACAACAAGTAAACTTGAGTAGCGGTGTCAGGGGATTGTTCGACCAGACCACTGGATTCCGGCACTGCTACGACTGCTGACGGTCTGGCAAAGAACAAGAGTTTTTCCAAGACAATCAAGACAGTCCACATGGCAATAATTCCCCCACTTGTTCCTGCTGAGTGGGATTACTGGGTTTAGAGGCATTTGCTGAATGGTACAGCTCCTGATGAGAAGGGGTTGGGGAAAGGGATGGGCAAGGGGGAAGGAGCTGGCGGGCGGAGGCCAGGGCTGTGTGCTGTCCCCCGCCGTGCTGTCTGCATGGTCGTGTAGCTGTGATTTTGCTTTTATCAGTCATCCGGGGTGGGGGCTACTCATCATCATCATCGCTGTCATCATTATCCTCATCAGAATTGTCGTCATCGTCATCGTCATCCTCGTCATCATCCCTGTCATCCTCATCTTCATTGTCATCGTCTTCAGTGTTTATCTTCCCAGAAAGCACATCCTCGATCCAGTCTTCCAGCTCCTCAGCTGTGGGCAGGTCGTCATCATCTGGGATCTCCATCCAGACGCTGTCGGCCTGCAGCGAGGGACCGAGGGACCGAGGGACCGAGTGAGTGAGTGAGTGCAGGAAGGACGAGTCAGACCAGAGGGGTCCAAGCAGCCTGGCTCAGTTGTCAGGGACGTGTGCACACTGTTAAATGCGAAAGCCTCAATGCAGAACACTCTGGGTAGTATCATACTTGTGCAAGATAAAAGGAGGTGTGTGTGTGTGTGTGTAGTTTGTGCAGAACGGTTTCTGGGGAAGGAGGAAGAGTGTGGAGGCAGGGCTATGGAGGGTTGGCAGGGGAATGGGCGGAGCCCAGCATGCTGAGACTGGCAGCTGCTTCAACCCGGCCCCTCCTTAAGATGCCACCTCCCCCCACCCACACACCCAGAATTTCTTCCTTGCTTCTCCACCCTGGAGTCGTTCCTCCAGATCCCCAGCACTCCCCACCCTAACCTGCCTGCTCTCCTTATCCCAAGCATTAGGTTGTTACTGTGGAAAGTGTTTGGGATGGGGAGGCAGGCCAGGATTGGGGCGGTTTCCAGGGGTATTGAAATCAAGTATTACTATGAATTGTAATTATGTTTGCACTGGTTTTTTCCCCCCTCTGATTACATGAGCATATCTACAAGACACCTATTTAATAAGAACAAACATGTATATGACATTTCTGGTAGGATGGCCATGAAACCACTTACCAGTGGTTCCCTCAGGGAATGGGAAAAAGAAGAAGGTCAGGGCAGTGGGAAATACTTTTGCTTTTCACCTTATCGTCTGCTGTTTTACTTAAAAATGTTTTAACTTGAGCAAATTTTAAAACTTGTTTATTATTATTAATTTAAAAGGCAGTTTCGAAAATAAATAAGTGCAGAATTCCCCAGGTGACCAGACGCCCAGCAACAGGGTAAAAGGACATTGCTACCTGGGCCCCATTCACAAGCATTTCCACCGCCATTAATTAGGGCTCTAATGACTTCTCTGTGACCATCTCTTTCTGTCCATTGTTTGCCCATTATCTGTTGTATCTGTACCCCTTTCTGGGTTTTTTTTTTTTTGTTTGTTTGTTTTTTTTTTATGGTGGAGTTGTATCAGACATCTGGGCTGAGATCTAAAATTCCTCATGCTCTGCCAGTCCGCCACACCAGCTTGCCTCCCTGCCCTCAGTTCAATGGCACCTGCATGGTGAGAAGAGGCCCCTCTTCCTATGTGATCTTCCTCCCCTTCTTCTGTAGCCCCCTTGCTGATCAGCCACTGTGCAATGGAAGCTTCATGTGTGGGTTCTTTTGCATTAAAAAAGTTTGTTGTGCTTGGGGAGAAAATTCACAGGAGAGGTTACTTGGGTGAAAAGCTCCAAATAGTAAAACAGGACAGCTGGCCCTGTAAGCAAGGAAACATGGCCATACATTTCCAAGGAAGTGCCCATGGAAGCGAATCATGAAACCATAGATTAAGACTGGCTCAGACACTAGGCTTGGGCCACACTGGCAAGTTTTTCATTTCAGGACAGGCTAGACTCGTATACGTGGTGGCCCAGTCAGGACAGGACAGTCTGAGGGTGCCTGAGCAAGCTTTCATGGGGTATACTCACATCTGTCACATTCACCACCCCAATCTGTGGCTTGAATAGATCAATCTTGAAAGTCTTTTCCCAATAGGCAACAAGCTGAAGCAACAACAAAAAAAATGAGATTAGACAGCAGACAGAGGGCATTCCCTGTTAAAGCCACATTTTGTGGCTGGACCCACCTGCCATCCCATCATCATAGGTCACCATTGATTAAAGGTCTCCAAAACATCTGCGGGCACTTTGAAAACTGAAGACTTGGCCTCAGCCCTCAAGCACTTTAAAGAAGTATGAAAACAAGATGTTATAACACAAACTATGAAAACATGTAATATAAAATCTTCTACAGCTGTAAGGAAGAATATTACAGAGATGGTCTGACGTTGATTCCCAAATTACTTGTGGCTCTTTTATAGTTTATGTGTGGCGAGAGAGCCATTTTCCCCCACTTCTCTTTCAGTGGCCCATTTAAAAATCCCTTACCTTGCACTACTCTGATCCACGAGGTGGCTGGGAAGGTAGTGAAGTGCCATCCAATTAAAAGGGTTGGTGGCGGGGGAGGCGTACGTTGCCAGGCTTGGGATCCACATGGACTAGACTGGGGGGGACTGAAGGAGTAAGGGGCCGTGGGCTAAGACAGTGCAAATGTTCAGTGACAGAAAGTCTCCAAGGCAAATATATGGCTTGATGGGGACGAGGAATAGTCAGGAACCTGGATGTCGGGACAGTCTAAAGATTTCTCCTTTGTAAAAACCAAGATAAACAAACACATAGGGCAAGTTGGGAGAGCTGCTGGCCATCTGGAAGCCTGCATAACAAAACAGTCCGGGTAAACTAGAAATACAGTCTGGCAGAGGCTAACTAAAAAATGTCATAATATCTAGGATCTTAGGAGGTCATGACTCTGTTACGATTACCCAGAATGATGACAGTGACCTCAGGTGTCAGGAGAGTCTCTGCCTTCGATTCACTTACTCTGTATGTAGGGTTGGGTTTCAGGACCCTCAAACTCATGAAATCCCCTCCATTTTGACTATTTAATCATGATATGATCCGTCGTGTCCTATGCAACAAATGGTAATTTCGGGAAGAAGACAGGCTATCGTTTATAATCTAATGATAACTAAATGTGTACTGGTCACCAGCAGCTGGCTCATCCTAAAGTCCACTGACTAGCAGACAAAATTTTGGCATCACATAATCCTGGGTCAGGATATCACGTCTACCACATAGCAGCTTCAACCTCGCCAGCTGTTTTTCTTTTCATCTGTCAGACAGGGATTATGATAGTCCCTACTTCATAGTGTTGTCAGGAGGATTAGATGAGATGATCCGTGTGAAGAATTTACTATGGTTCCAAGCATACAGTAAATTAGCTACATCCATTATCACGACCACTGGGCTCGTGTGCTGTATGAATTCTGTTTATTATTCTCTTTAAAAGTAAGCATAACCCTCTCTCTCTCAAATAAAATTTGAAAAAAATTGGCTCAGGTCACGATCCCAGGGTCGTGAGATCGAGCACCCCCATCGGGCTCCACGCTGAGTGTGGAGCCTGCTTGGGATTCTCTCTCTCTTTCCCTCTGCCCCCTCTCCTTCTCCCTCTCTCTTTCTGTCTCAAACAAATTAAAAAAAAAAAATAAAAATAGGCATAATCAAGGCTTTCTGGCCATTGATCACTGACACCAGCAAGAGTTTGGGACTTTGATTTTCTTATACATTCAACATGTGCTAGATACAACAATGCTAGGACCTGGGAAAACACAATGCACGTGGCAGATGGTCTTTGCCCTCCAAGAACTTGCTCCTTCTCTCCATGAAGTTCTTAACTCCATGCAAAATGTTCAGGTCTGATTTTAATTTCTTAGTAACTCTGGTTCCCTTGGAAGGACGCTCCCCCCTCCCCCAGAACATGAAGGAGGCGATAGCAAGGGAGGTGGTGGGATGGGGACAGCAATGGACGTGCTAGCAGAAGAAATTCACCCCGCTCACTCGCATGGGTGGGCCAGAGGAACCCCTGGTCTCCAGGGAGGTGAGTGCTGGGTCTAGTCGTGTCAGTGCGAAAGTCAGTGTTGCCCCAGTGGCCAAGGTCTCCCACACCGGATGGGGGTGGTCATCGTGTTTCTGCAAGTGCATCTCCTGATTCACACCCTGCTTCGTGCTCCCAGGGCTCACACTAAACACAAGCATGAGACTGTGAAGGTGACCGCCAAAGGTGCCGGGGTCTGAGCCACTCACCAGAGGAAAGTCATCCGGGTCAATCCACACGATGCTCAGGTCAGGGTTGTCCGTGTTGTCCCTGGCAACCTGTTTCAGGATTTCCAGGAACTCGTAACCATCTGAAGCAGGATTCGAGAAGGCTGAGTAACCCCAGCACAGACATGGCTTCCAACACCAAGAGCAGGGAGTGTGGTTTTTCCACGAGGGTTTCTTAGGCCTATTTGGTGCATACCCTTAATTATAGGATTATTCTATAAAATGAGTCAGATGAGAACTCCAGCCGCAAAGCAGCTTCCTCAAAGAAAATGATAAAAATTTTAAATAAAAAAATTAAAAGTTCACAGGGAAGCGGCTGCTTCTTAACTCAAAGCTGGGCTCCATTGGCTAATCTGCACGTGAAAACTGACCAGGCTTGAGTCAGCAAGTACAATCCCAGATCAGAGGAACCCCTGCCTGGTCCCCGGTGCCCTGTGCCCTCTTTGGAAACCAGTAATTTGCCATCCCTGAGTTCTACATACCAAGAACATGTAGCCTGGATGCTTAATTTTCTACAACCTGGAATTTCTAAAACTTTCAAACTATGCTTCTGATTTACAGCTGGTTTCATAGCTTTGAGATAGCAAATAGGGTTTCTCTTCCTCCCTCACCATTTCCTTGTATGTCTGCCTTCCCCCAACCAGGCAGCAGCATTCATTGCCCCCAGGGGAGGGATGATTCATAAGAAAAGCAGAGACAAGCCTTGTGAGCCTCAAGAACACAGTTTTTTGGTTTTTT